AAGCTATTGATAAGGATTTAAATCTTCACCTGGAATTGTCTAGCTCCTGTCAGTTAAAAACCAGACCCACGACATGGTTTTAACACAGTCCTTTGACATTAGCATCTTTTTAGTGTCAAGATGAAGAAACAGGCTCATTTAGTCACAGTGAATTTCTCCCTGTCATGAGCTGTTTCCATCCTAGCTTACCCCCACTTTTCTTCTTCCTCCCCACTTCCTCAAACCCACCAGAACTGAATGAAGCCTGTATCTACTGTTGTTTTAAGCAATTTTGTTACCCTAGCCACAGCCTGGGGATTTCAAAAGAAAACATCCATCATAAGTTAAGAAGAAGGAGGAAAAAAAAAAGATTATACCAGATTTTCTACCAGGTTTATTCCTTAATGCCTTAAAGTATGGACACAGCCAATCTCTGCGGAAAGTGATTAATTTCTTGAAAACACTAAGGTCACACTAATTGACATGACCTGTGTAATTAAGTAGTCTCTGTTTACACACCAGAAGCTCAGCCGCTGTGAGGCTGAGTTTGCTTGACAGAATGTCTTTACATGTCAAGAGATCAACAACCTTTCTTATGTCCTCCTCAGTCACCTACACAGGCCCCTGATTGCTGTTCAGAGGAGACACGCTCTGGCATGGCTGTATGAAGTTCAGGGTGGCCTGGTGAGCATACAAAATGAGATGAGAGAAAAGCAGCAGCCACGAGTGTTGGAGAGAGCCCACTTAATAGTCAGGAGAGCACGTTTTCGATCAGATGTCTCTAAGTCTTAGGTTTTCAATATAACTGAGAAAAGCCACATTGAGATGTCAAGGATAGACCAGAGTTTTCTGATGCCAAAAAGACACTTTCTTATTCCTCCTTAAAGGCGGTCACAACAGAAAACCTACTTCTTACTGGGGTACTATGAGAGGAATGATGGAAATTGTGTGTCTTCTTCACAGGTAACCTTCAACCAGTGTCTCTATGACACATTGCTTTCAGCCAGGGGAGCTGCAGGAGAGGCTAATTTCCCCCTTCTTGGGCAAGTCCTAAGATTTGGGAACTTCCATATGGTTTCTTCTAGAGTTCTCTGAGATGTCAGAGGTCACTTTACTCATGCTTCATCTATATGATGGGTCTTTCTTGCTCTGGAGGAGGGGCCCAAGCCTCCATAGGTTAAGTAAAGCTAGAGCCATCTTCTGAGTAACAGCTTCTTTTTCTAAGGTTCATACAAGCAAAAAAATGGCCAACACTGTAGCTCTGCACAGAAACAATGCTCATGTTCTTTTACTTCCATGCAACTCCACTCTGCCTGACGAACTTTGGTGGCATTCCAACAGTCTTAATACAGATAGTAGCTTCAGGCTTGTTATAGGGCAAACACCTTTGTGTTTGTGTGACTTTGAGCAAATTGCTTAATTCCTCTAAGCCTCAGTTTCTCATGTGTAAAGTTACATTTTACAAATATAATATCTGTACACTCCTAACAGGGACATTGTGAAGATAAAATGATAATTCATGTAAAATACTTAGCATGATATCTCTCACATATTAAGTACCTAATAAATGTTAGCTTCATCATTATCACCATCATGGCCAATGTCCACAGATGTATGTCAAGGCACATGTATGGGCACGTATATTTATATACACCTACGTGGAACACATTGAATGTAGACACAGATATAAACAGTCACCTCCCCAGTCCTAACATAAATGGAAATAGACCAAGATAGGGAACATGGAAAGAGAAGGCAACTTCTGATGGAAGCACAAAAAAAAGAAAAGAAAGGTGATGACAATGGACTTTGGGGTTCAGTGAGTTGAAGTTCCTGGAAGTTTCCAACTGGCAGCTGGAGAGCTAGGTCTGGATTTGGATGTCAGGTCTCAGGGAACCTGAATCAGGAGATCTGAGTGTCCAAACAGTGGTTAATATGCTGAGAATGAAGGGGATAGTAAAGAGATTCCTACAAAGTGGGAAAAGATCTGGATCTCAAAAGAAAACTTAGGGAATTTCAATATATACAGGAGAGAAAACAAATAGCATCCCTTTAATAAGGCTGAGAATGAGTGAATGTTGTTGTGGAATCCAAGGAAAAGATGGGCTCAAGAAGGATGGGATGGCTACCAGCATGAGATGATGCAGAGAAACATACAGGACCATAATATTAATGAAAAAACACCACTGGGGAAAACAAAGAAAGGTTTGGCAAGAATATTTGAGGTGCTATTTTAACCCATTCCCCAACTGCATAAACATCCACATGCCTACATGCATAAGACCATGTGCTAATTGTGGAAAAATTATAATTAATTAAATTTGTACAAAAAAACAAACAAACAAAAAACCCTGAGTCAATATTCTTTCTGCCATAGGCTCCCTCTATCCTCTCCCAGAAAGTGATGACGGGGTGATGGGGACAAATCAGCTTAAATCTGAGATCCAGTAAGGAATTTGTCCTTGCTGATGGACGGAGCTCTTCTTCAACTCAAAAATTAACTCTGTAGTGGCCAAGGTTGCTGCCCCTATTTAGAGAAGTCTACCTACTTTAGGATGGTTGGAGACTCACAGGAAAGAACACACATATTTGAAGGACATATGGACCTTGGGTCAGGCAGTTCTCATGCTTAATAAAAAAAAAGAGCACTCTTTGGGACTGTAGCACTGTCACCAGGAAGAGGCTGTCAGAAATCATTAGGTATAAGACTAGACCAATGACGCTCAAGTAGGGGTAATTTTGCATCCACACCCCAACCAGGGAACATTACAAATGTCTGGAGACATTTTGGGTTGTCATGATTAGGCTAAGGGCTGAGGGAATTTCTCTCCTGGCCTCTACAGGTACAGGCCAGTGACGAACTATTAAATATACTACAGTGTGTAGGACAAATCCACCCTCCCACATACAACAAAGGATTGTCTAGTCTAAAATGGCACTTGTGCCTCGATTGAGAAACCCTGTACTGAAATACTGATCCAGTTTTTGTGTATTACAAATACTTTCCCCAAAAGCTAACTTTCTATTTATTATTTTCAAATTAGTTATGTATACAAATGTTGTTATTTGTATGTTGTGAGATAAGAGGAATCATAATTTTTATTCCATTTTAGAGCTGAGGAAACTGAGGCTTTCCAGAAATTCAATTCATGCCATCCCTCATCTCAGTAGCCTTTCTACTAAATGAAGAACAACTATCTGTAAAAATAAAGTTTTCTAGATACTATCAAAAATAATAGACTGAGGTCGTTTTTCATCTCCTATGAGAGCTATATCTCTATAATTTAAGGCTTTCAGACATTTCACTAACAGGTCCGTTGAGGGAAAAATAAGACCCCAGAAGTCTTACACAAATCGTCTTAGATTCCCAATGTCACCAAAGTGCACCTCTAAGTCTGTTGCCCTGAGAAGCAGAGTAAAGTGGATCCTGATATTCATAAGGCATGACATGTGTCTATTGGACATGTTTATTAGACATGAATTGGTTCGTGCCTGGATATGCCTTGTTCCTAACCCAAGCTTGGTCAAAGGACCAAGCTATGGCTCATCCCAAGACCAAAACAAGCTGCAAAACACTTTATAGTGAAACCCAACCTCATGTTGCAGGACATGGAGCAACACACAGGGGCATCACATGTGTCATTTAGTAGCAAAGCCAACTCCATCTCAACACACACAAAAAAGTCCTGTGTGGGAAGGAGATTACCCAAGTCTTCCAACTTGGGGTCAGTAACTAGCCAGGAGAAACATTTTCCAGGAAACTAGGAATTCAGGGATTCTCTCTACTTATCTCTGTCAGGACAAGAGGTGGTGAGGCCAAAATGATTTTACAAAAGTGGTACAGGTTCTTGGGAGAAAATGTCTTCTTTCTACTGAATTTGTTCTTTCATGAGATCAGTAAGTCTCCCGTCTTAAAAAAATATCATCTTGGAGACAAAGAGATCTTGACATCTGAAAATCAGTGTTCAGAATCATCCCATAACCTTTCCCCCATCAGAGGGGAAGTTTTTCAAGATCCTCTCAGAGACCGTACATTTCAATCTACACTTAAAGTTGACTGGCTATACCTAAGAGTATACTTTCAACACGAGACTGTTTTCACTGAAAAACCATATGGGTGAATACACGCGTCATTACTCTGATATATTGCACGACAACTAACGTTGGCCATGCAAATGAGTTACCCATAAAATGAGATGGAAAGCAACACAAGTCTAGAACCTTGCTCTTCAAAGCATGGTCTGTGGCATTGGCATCGCTTGGGAGCTTGTTAAATATGGAGAGTTTCAGGCCCACTGGAGACCTCAATTAGCAGTTTAACAAGATCCCTGGGGGGTTCTTGACACTTTCGATTTTGAGAAGCGCCAGTATCTAGAACTTAGCAACCTTTCCTAAAACCTAGCTACCATTTTGTGTTTTCAAAATTAACACTTTGCTTTCACATCTTCTTCTGTCACTAAATGTGTAATTATATGAGGCAAACACACCCCTCATGTTTTGAATGGTGGCTGATCTGACTGGTGCTTGAGGACTTTCACACGGGCTGTCCAAGGACATTGCTGACACAGAACTGAGGGTCACCCATATCACGCTCTAGATGTGCCCTGCTGCATCAGGGGGTCTGTTTTTAATAGACAATTACTGGTGACAACTTCCAAAATTGGGAGAGGAGAACAGAGAGAAAGGAAGGAAGAAGAGGATGTAGTTCTAGAAAGTACATCATTTCTATGTACTTTACTTAACCTGCAGTGGTTTAAGCCTGTGAGTCCGGACATTCAGGAAGCCAAACTGGGCTCAGAGGACATCACTGTCTCAATCAATGACCGCAGGTGGTTCAGTCCTGATGCTTCCCTAACAAAAACAACTCCTAGAGTGCAGAGACCTGGGGGACCAGGAGTCTCACCTGCTCCTCACCTCTGGGGAAATAACTAGACTCTGTATCTTCCTCTGCCTAAACTTTTTGTACCCTCTCCTGATATTCGTGCCATTATCAAGATTTAAGAAAGACAAGACAAACCCACCTGGAATCTCCGCATGTCACGTGGGTTTCCTGCATTCTTTAGGCAATTTTGGTTACATTTGAGGAAAAATTTCAAGAAGAACCTGTGAAGAAACAAATCATCACGGTTAGCTTTTCCATCCTGACACAGAAGGGGAAAAAAAAGTAGTAAGTCGCATCTAGGTTATACGTTCTGTTCTCCACATATTTTCTGAAATGTTTAGGAAGGTGTTAGACCCAATATTTTATTTGAAGTTTTAGCCCTTGTTTTGCATCTGAGCTGGACTTTCTCTGTGAAGGAAACACTCTCAGTGCTGCCAACATATCTCACAAAAGAATTAAGCCCCCAAGGAAGTATTTTTACTCAGAGGGAAGGTCTTCACCATAATTTAAGATAGCTTCCAATATAATTGCCTGAGAATTACTCATGGTTCCAACAACATGTAATTTAAGCCCCATAAATTCACAAATGATGAACCAGCAAAATGCATGTTAGATGGATATAAGGAGATGGTAAACACTTTTTATTTTAGCACCTCCAAATAAAATACCTTAATTAGTAGTACCCACAAGAAGTAGATAAGATTCGCATACTGACTGAAGTCCTTTGACTTCTCAAATATTTCCTACATGTTTTTCTTATATTGCCTACTGGACAAAAGCTATTCGTGATTGAATAAGAACTTTGTTGCTACCTTGGTACCTGAATTCATTCTAAAGTGAGATCCATGTGTTTTACTTGCTAGAGTGATCAAAAGTCCCAATTTGCCAGGAACGAACCTGGTTTACACCGGTTGTATTAGGGGATGTATTAATAGTGTCCACTTTAACTCTGAAAAGTGCCCCATCATGGGTGATAAATTAGATGGCCACCTTATAGCTTTCTGAGTTATTTCTTTTTTTAAAGATTTATTTATTTATTTTGTGTGTAAGGGAGAGAGGGCATGCGGGCACATGAACACACACATTGCGGGGAGGGGAAAGGGGAGAGAGAAACTTAAGCAGACTCCTGGCTGAGCAAGGAGCCTCGCATGGGACTCACTCTCAGGACCCTGAGATCATGACCGGAGCTGAAACCAAAAGACGGATGCTTAACTGACTGAGCCACCCAGGCACCACCTGAATTATTTCTTATGTTGTAGTTGTTAAAGTCCGTCACAGAAAGATAGCAGGTATCAAAGGTCCTATTAGGACATTCATGCTGGCAATCTACTCGTTCTTCACTGACCCATGTTTGGGGAAAGAAGCATTTTAAAAACCACCCTGAGGGGCATCTGAGTGACTCAGTCAGCTAAGCAGCTGCCTTTATCCAAGGTCATAGTCCCAGGGTCTTGGAATCAAGCCCCACATCAGGCTCCCCGCTCAGGTAGGAAGTCACCCTCTCCCTCTCCGTCTGCCTCTCCCTCTACTCATGCTCTTTCTTCCTCTCTCTCTCTTTCAAATAAATAAAATTTTAAGAAATAAAATAAAAATAAAAACCACCCTGAGTTCTCCATTCCCTTTTACTTTTAGGCCTATGGCTATCAGGCCCACATATTTTCCAAAAATATCAGAACGCATTAAATTACTGGGCAGTTAAATTCTTATAGGGATTTTCTTTTCTTCACCTTTCTCCCATTCAAGCCTGCTCTGGAGTATAAAATTCCCACCTCGATACACGTAATCTGTGAAAAACTATTATGCCATGATGCCTCAGTCTGAATTTAGCTCTGAGCACAAAGTCTATTAAGCAAATAACACAGGGGTCTTCAGAAATGAGAACACAGTACAAAGTTGCACCGAGTTTAACTGATTTCTGAATACTGAACTGAGCGTGGTCCCAGAAGAATCTCTCTCCTCCCTGGTCCCTGAGAGAGGAGAATGTGGTGTGGGAGTAACTCTGAAGAGAGACAATAACTTTGTCAACCAAAAGAACATTTTGAAAAGTAAACATCTTGGGGCACCTGGGTGGTTCAATTGGTTAAGAGTCTGCCTTCGGCTCAGGTCATGATCTCAGGGTCCTGGGATGGAGCCCCACGTCAGGCTTCCTGCTCAGCAAGAAGTCTACTTGTTCCTCTCTCTCTCTGCCCCTGATCATACTCCCTCTCTCTCTCTCCCATAAATAAAATCTTTAAAAATATAATATAATATAATATAATATAATATAATATAATATAATATAATATATAATAAAAATCTTTAAAAATGTAAACATTTACCTAAAATGACTCTTTTCAACATCATGTACCATTCAACTGCCCATCAACAAAGGCAGGCCTCTGAATAATCATTTGACCTTACTTTCAGGTTCTCTCCACAGAGCTCAAAGTTCATCAACATTCTGTACGAGAGAAATGACTCATGGGACACCACTGAAGCCCAAATTTGTAAAATGGAATCCACTCTGCCAGTAGGAAGAATAACACTGTCCTTCCCTGGGGCCATCAGCTGGTCCTGACTCATGTCCCCTTTCAATAGGGCAGACTTGGGAAGGGAAAGAGGTTTGAGGAGGAGCCACAACCCCGAGTGCCTCTGTACTGTCCTTTCCTCTGAGCTCTCAGAAGGCCAATGCCGGGTGGCCCTGTGATCACAAATGGCTTTCAGAAGCTGAGGTGGTAAAACCCAAGGATAGTGGGTCTGCCATCTTACTGGGGTTCAAGCCAAAGACACCAGAAACGTGAAAACTGGCTGCTTCTTTCAAGTAAAGCCAGTTGGAAGGGCATTTTTAAAAGCCACACCAACCCTCAAGAGAGGACTCTTTGTCACTAAAGTAACACCGAGAATCCATAACCCACAGCCTTTAGAAATACCCAGAATGGGGTTCATATCCCAACTTTGACTTGTGTGATTTTGGATAAGTAGCTGAACTTGTGTGATTTGGGGTAAGTAGCTGAAGTTCTCTGTACCCCTTCTCTGTAAACAGAGACCGTATCTACCTTATAAGGTGATTGCAAGCGTGAGCTACGAGACTGCCAAGCATCGGTAAGCACAGTGACTGTGGCAGCAATAACATCGGCTCCCATGTATCACATACTTAACCTGTGCTCAGCACAGCGCTAGGAACTTCAAATACATTTTCCCTAGCTAACCCCCTAAGTAACCGCTGGTATTAATCCCGTTTTACGGATGAAGAAACTGAGGTTCAGAGAACTTAAATAACTTGCCCAAAGCTTAGAAACGCCAAGCCTAGAATCCAAATTTGGTCAGAGCCTGTGCTCTTAACCATTAGGCTACAGTCGTTTTAGTAAGAATAGAAGTAGTACTGTACTGATATTAGTACTAATGGTACCATTGAGAGTCATGGTACTACAATGGCATTTATACTAATAAGTGTGTGTAAGTGTAACCATAGGGATAAGAATAATTTTGGCATTAAGATTCCCTACCAGTAGCATAAATACTATGGAGGGAGACATCATGGACATCCTCCCTCCAGAGTCCCCCACCCCCAGTTCCTCAGGGTCGGTAATACGGCCGCGGGGGTGTGTTTAAGACATTTGAGCCCAGACCCGACAGCCAGATTCAGGCTGTGTTAGAAGGAGCTGTCAGCACACCCTCTGGCATCTTCAAGTCAGACAACTGCTAGCCACCATGAGGGGAGCCATCTGGTGCCAAAATGGATTTTGAAAGACAAGCAAACAGGACACTAGCTCTGCCAGAGAGAAACAGAATCAAGGGAGCAGGGGATCTTCTGCCTTAACGATAAGCAGGGGCGCGGCGCCTGTCACCAGCCCATCGTTAGCACAAAAGCTATGCTGGGCACACCCCAGATCCCTGTTACCCTAAGCTGCCCTGTCACTTGGCATGCTGGCAGAAGCTCCTGCCTGCCCTCTCGACGGTGGATTGCTTGCTGAAATTGAAGTCCTGACCATCTGTCACAGGGAAGAGACGGCATCAACGGGTGCCTGGGGCCTCACACAAGCCCTTATGTGGCAAAGACGCTCTGAAGGGCCCGTTCTTTTGGGGAGAGCCAGCCTTACCCCAGGGGGAGCATCAGGAATTCTTTCAAAGTTTCCCCTAAGTAGATGCCAAATGCCTGACCCTTTCGGATCACACTTCCTTAAAGGAACCAAGAGGAGTTAGAAGTAGGAGTTAAAAATATCCCCACTGAGAGACAGAGTTAGACGTGGCACACACATTTGGGGGATGATTTATCGGGCTGTTTTTAAGGCATTTTTAAACGGAGGACCCACACATGTCTGCTGACCTACGGAGAGGATCTCAGATTCCGAGGGGGTTTTCAACAAAGCAGAGGTTATTGTAACTCAAAACCTCACTTTTGTCTCATGAACTACCACATTTTGTGTGGCGGGTGTGTTTGATAAAGTGTTGTCAGGAGAAAGAGTGTGGCAGCCTTCTCCCGACCGTGGGAAACGGACTGGAGGCAGGACAAAGCCCCTATTGACCCTGTGGAGTTCCAAGGAGTTCCAGAAACTCCAGGAAACAGCCCAACCAGAACCAAACTCCAGTCTTCTTCGGGGATGGAAGGGGTGGGACAAGAAACCCAACACCTTTCTGTTAACTTTCAATATGAATAATATCTTCTGTTCGTACGGTATGTTATAGGATTCAAAGCACTTCTATCTCGAGGGACTCACCAAATGCTCCACAGAAGTCCTATAAATTAGGCATGCCAGGAATTATCAACCTATTTAATGGGCAAGAAAACTAAGACTCAACAAAATTAAGATATTTATCTACAGTCAAAACTAAACTCATACCCTATATTGGTCAAAGGACTTCTTACAGTATAAGGTTTTTTCCATGAATTACAAGACTTTACAAGTGACCTGAACCGTCACTTAGTATAACTTTTTCACCATGCATATGAGAAAATTGAGAGATCAGGAGACATGATAATAGCTACAGTTATAATAGTTACGATAGCTAGAACTACAATCCACATGTCTTGGCTTCTGGTTGTATGATTTTGTTTCAAGAGAAAGTTAGGTTTCCAAATAAGGGCTCAACATATGAGCTATTATTGAGCTTTCAGTCTACTACCTCAATTAGGGAAGTGACAGTCATAAAACTCAAAGTGACATCCTATTAAAAGTTGTGTCTAGGTTCATCAATCAGGCTAATGTAGGACATTAGCCCATCATTGAACATTAACTGAACCAAA